GACCACTCTTGTAGTAATTGTCACATTTTCAGGTTCTAGAGGGGGAACTGACCACAGCATGGGTGTACACCACCTATTAACCCAAGGCATCACTGAGCCATGGCTTCATTTTTGCATCTGCGGTGCCCAAGATGCAATACTTCTGCCCAGCACTGCGGTGCATACTCGGGCTGGGCCAGGCAAGGCTCTGTCCCGTCCCAGCAAAGCTTTCCCACCTCTGTCATCTGAGCAGAGGTCCTGAGCACTTGAGGGAAGGAGGATAAATCACCACCCCAGGCTGCCCTGCGGGAGCAGCAGCTCCCTGCAAACCCTTCCAAACTTCCTGCCAGCTCTCCCCGCCGCCTCTCCTTCCAGCTCCGTGTCGCCGCAATTCTATGGGCTCAGCATCCCAGCCAGGCTTTTTCCGGCTCCCTGAAACGCTGCCCCCTTCCCTTCCCGGAGCTCTGCGCATCCCGCAGCCGCGGCCCTGCTCCCGCCGTGGGTCAGGCATCCTCCGGCCAGGCGTACTCACCCCGAGAAACTCGCTCCCGCCTCACCTCCGCCGTCCCCCTCTGGCCGGGTCTGAGGGGGTTTGGGGTGTTTTGCTGGGTTTTTTTTAACTTTCAGCGAGTGCACCCAGTTGCGGGGCGGCGGGGGCGGTGCGGTGCGCGCCTCCCTCCGCCCAGCCGCGGGGGCGGGGAAGGGGTCGGCTCTGCCCGGGGCCTGCACGGGCAGCGCGGAGGAGCCATCGCCGTCAGGGCGCCATGGCTTCCCCCTCACCCGGCTGCTCCTCTGCAAACCCTCCCTGCAAGCCCTCACCTAATTCCCAAAATAAATCCGCCCCGACACTGATTCCTATAGCTGTTTGCATAACAACGCAGCAACGGTTTTGTGGGGTTTTTTTTTTTACAGCAGTGCTGGTGCTGTCCTGACGGAGAGTTTACACTGGCTGCGTGAGACCAGCGGACAGGCAGAAAGAGAAATGGATCACGGCAGCATCCCTGCCCGGCCTTGTGTACCGACCTGTGTGCCCGCCCGGGGCTCCCTGAGCCTGGGAAACACTTTGTGCGCCTTTTAACTCTTTGTAAATGCTGACTCCAAAAGCCTGGTTCTGCAGGGTCAGCTCCGTACTCATCCTCCACATACAGACTTAGGAACCACTCATTCTTGGATATGGAATTAGTATATCGCATACATACACATTTGTATTAACACAAAAATACCTGATACCTTTACGCTTCTCCATAGGTACTTGTATTTATACAGAAAGACTTGAAAGTGAAGTATCTGCTGTTTCTAATGCAGACAGGGCAGGCAGGGGTGGTTGCAAGGGGCTGATTACCTGAGAGATTGGAGGGAAGAAGAATTCCAGAGCAGGCAGAGAGGACACCTGCACCTCAACTGAAATGCATGACTAATAAAAACTGTAGAAATGTTATGCACACAGCTCCTGTCCGTACTCTGAGTGTGTAATGCCAGCAAGCCTTCCTGAGAGGATCAGAAGGACACCCAGCACCTAAATCCAGCCCTCTGCAGCAGTGTCCATGATCCTTGCCACACTGGCTCTGCTACCTTTCCACTAAGCTATTCTTGCCAATAGCCCCTTTGGAGCAACACACAGCTGTTACTGCACCAGAGAGGTCCGATTTTCTCTCTGAACTACCAGTCTCCTCCTAAGATGAAAACTAACAACAGACACTACAATGCTGGGACATACAGATTTATTTATACTCCAGTATTTGTTTAGTGATTAATCCCAGCTCTTGTCCCATTTGTTGCTTCCTCCCAAAAGTTTCAGCTGTTGGAGTAATATTTTTAAGTAGAAGCTTTCAGGCTAGGTTTTAATATTATCTTTGAAGCTGAATATTATCTTGAAGTGCTTACAGATATCCGACCTGGAACATGAAGGACCTGTACTCACTTCTAGTCGTGAGGGATGCAGCAAGAATCTCCAAGTATTATTTTGCAAAGCAGATTCACGTGAAAGCAGAACCCTGCTTTTGCAGACCTTATTAAGAGTACCTAGATTCTGTGAGGACTGAGGTTAGCATGGCACAATGAGTATGTAGTTCAGTAAATTAAATTGAGTGGTTGGAAATGGATCAGAGACCTGGTATGTTTTATGGAAGGACTTTCTGTGATCCCAATGCATTTCGATCTAATCTGTAATTTTAAACTTAGTTATATTCCTGGCTTTCACATTTCCTCAGCTGGCAGACTCTTAAAGTGCTCTCACGAGGACAAAACTTAATTGTAAAATGCTTCAGCTTCCTTCAACAGGCTTGACTTTTCTCAGTTACTGTCCCTCAAACCTTTTGAAGCAGTCCACAGATACCATAACCCACGCTTTGAGACTGAAAATACAGAAGTGAGTCCTGAGGGCAGTCCAGAGGGATAGCTGTATGATCTGCTGTCTGTCCCATGCCATGCACAAGCTGTTCTTGGACCAGCTCAATCCAGTGGCTGGCATCAGAGAGACTCACTTTTGTTTCTTGTCCTGTTATGCCACTCTGAGGAAATAAGCTCTTATTGCAGGATCTGGTTTGTCTGTAATCCATATTAAATAGCTGGTAAAGATGATACCAGCATAAGCAATGGCAGGGACAAATCATCCCATAGGAATTCTGGCCACAACTGTTGCTCAAATAGCAGAGCTAATAAACCAGATTTCTTAAAGATCTGCATTTCGTGGTGTCCCCTGTTCATGGAAAGCTGTTGGTATCTAGCAAACTTGCAATGCAACTTGTCTTTCCATGGGTCAGGAACAACAGCTTTTCTTTCTGCTTCATCTCTTACAAACAGGATTTACTGCATTTGAGGTTTCTCTCATGCAGATGTACACATGTCCTCTGATCTGTTTTTAATACACTTTGGGGTTTTTTATGCCTGTCTTTTTGTTCTTCCCCTCTTTTTTATTATTCTGCACTTTAGAACATTTTTCTTTCTCTTAGGTCATGCTGTGTATCTTTTCTGTCTCTAGATATGCCCATTCTCTTTCTGTTGCATTCACAATCCTGTTATTCAAAGTAGATTTTCAGTAGATTTCCCTGGTTTTTTATCCTCCATTACATTAGTATAGTCTATATTACTGCAACACCCAGAAGCAGCAACCACACTATGCACTCCAAAGAGTCATTGTACGAACATTCTGGCAGGAACAAATGAAGTCCTCAGAATAAAATAGGGCAGAAGAAAAGGCAGGGAGACAAGGAAAGCACAGAGTTCTTGTTCCCAAAGAAGACAAAGCTCATTGACACAAGAACCACCTGTGGGCCTGATTCTTCCTTGTCCTGGGTCTTGTGTCTCAATTTGCAGCTGTGCATTTATACTCCCTCACTGTCACTGTGGCACCTTTCTTCTTCCAATAAAATCAGTGTAAAACACATGAAACACACAACAGCCCTTTCAACATGAGCAGCTCAAAATTAAAGACTTTAACCATTTCCATCACATATGGAATGATCTCCCACTTCCCTGAGAATACAGCACAGGTGCAGATGTATGCACAGCCCTTGCTACTGCACATCTTCCCCTTTCTTTAATTCTCTCCATGCTAATGCATCTCAAAATGCCCCAGATTACAAATCCCTACACTGTATCAGCTGCTCTCTCTAATGACTGTCCTTAGTTACTTTTTCCTGCTGACCAACAGCACATCAGGGGATCACAGAATCATTTAAGTTGGAAAAGCCATCTGAGATGATCCATCTTGTCAGCTAGAACACGGCCCAGTCTGCCCAGGGTAGTCTATTTCAATGTCTAATCACGTTTTCTGAGAGGGAATTACACCTGACGTCCACCCTGAACCTCTCCTGGTGCAGTTTGAGACTGTGTCCTGTCACTGTTGCCTGGGAGAAGAGGCCAATTCCCACCTGGCTACAGCTTCTTTCCAGGTAGTTGAAGAGTGATAAGGTCACCTCTAAGCCTCCTTTTCTCCAGGCTAAACACCCCCAGTTCCTGCTGGCTCTGCTGCCTTCTCCAATTTCTCCCACTCAAAACCTTTCAAAACCTTCTCCAGTTTCACCTTTTTGCAGCGGCCAAATTCCTCTGTGTGGAAAATCTGTATTATATGGCTCTACCCAAATAGTTACTATATATGCTGTATTTACATTCTAATAGTATGGTAAATGTAGTTTTGTAGTTAAAATGAAGCTTTATGAAGAAAATATGAAGCTATATGAAGAAAATATGTATGTGAAAGGGTTGTTTTTAAGGAATGAGATACTCGCTTCGAGGAACACCTAAATCTTCCAGAGAAGAGGAATTTTGGATTTTCTTATCAGAAGAAGCTAATTTCTTCAGGCCTTGCTTGGACTCGAAGACACCATGGGGATTGACATACAACAGACAGAGTTTCTTGTTTTAAATAGGATGTATGCATAACTATGAAGGATATTTGAATATGCAATAGCATATTGTTTTAGGGGTGATTCCTTTGCTCACAAGGCATGCTTTTCACGGAATCACAGAATCACAGAATAATGAGGTTGGAAGAGACCTCTAAGATCAAGTCCAACCTATGCTCTAACACCTCAACTAGACTATAGCACCAAGTGCCACATCCAGTCTTTTTTAAACACATCCAGAGATGGTGATTCACCACCTCCCTAGGAAGACATTCCAGTGCTTTATTATTCTTTCAGTGAAAAATTTTTTCCTAATATCCAACATAAACCTTTGCTGACGTAGCTTGAGGCTTAGTGTCCGAGAGCATCTGGACGTCCGTAATTCATTGCTTTTTATTGTCTTGCAATTGCCCTAACTCTAAATTTTATTACTCTAATTGTATTACTATTTTTAATAACCATTTTGCTATTATTAAACGTTTAAAATTTTTAATAACCGAGTGATTGGCGCTTTTCACACTCCGCCCTGTGCTGTCAGCGCGGGCGCCAAGATGGCGCCGGGCGCTGTGAGCGCTCCCTGAGGAAACTCGGCGGGCAGGGGAGGCCCGCGCCTTCCCGGTCCTCCGCGCCGGGGGCGGCGCTGTCGAGCCGCTCCGCCGCTCCGCCCCCCACCTCGGTGGTGCAGCCGCGTCCCGGAAGCGGCGGAGGAGCGATGGCGGCGGACGGGAGGGCGGCGGCGGCGGCCGTGGAGGAGCTGCAGCCGCAGCCGGAGGGGGACGTGGAGGGCGGCGGCAGCGAGCCGGAGGGCGGCTTCGGGCAGCTGCCGGAAGAGGAGGAGGATGGGGAAGATGCCGGCTATGTGCTGTACAGGTGCGGCCGCAGCGGCGCGATCCCGGGTCGGACCGGACCCTCGCGCGGGGTGGGGGGCGCGGAGCGGGGAGATTCTGGGAGGGGCAGGGACCCCTTTCACTATATCGGGTTGCTTAAGGCCTTATCCAACATGGCTTTGAACAGCGGCAGAGCTGCTGCATACACAGTTTCCCTGGTCCAGTGTCTCACCACCTTTACAAAGACTTTCTTCCCAATCTCTAACCTAAATTTCCCCCTCTCTCAGTTTGTACCCATTACTCCTTGTCCCATTATGACATTTTCTGACAGAAAGTCCGTCGCCAGCTTCCCTGAAGGCTCCCTTTTAGATACTGGAAGGCTGCTCTGAGATCTTTACACAGCCTTCTCTAGGCTGGACAGCCCCAGCATTTTCAGTTTGTCTTTGTAAGGGTGGTCCAGTCCTCTTTTCAACATCGTAGCCCTGCTCTGCTCCAACACTTCCACGTCCTTCTTATGCTGGGGATACCTTTACATATTTATGTGCTTGTCTGTGTTACAGACAATAAAGTAGCTAAAATAGTAGGGACTATTCGGAGCAAGGATGGGTTACTGGACACAGGTTCATGCGTGTCAAGGTTTGAGTAGCATTTTGTGCTTTTTAGAAGCATTGAAAACACAAAAAACATGTATTTACAGGGACAGGAAGGAATGGGCTGATATTGAACCTGTTCCTCAAAATGATGGGCCAAACCCTGTTGTTCAGATCATCTACAGTGAAAAATGTAAGTCTTAAATATATTCTGCCCTTAACCATTGATGAAACAAGACTTCGTGTTTTGGTTAACATTTCCTAGAGTGCTACTCTGAAGAAATTGGTTAATTGTGTTATGGTGCTTGTGTGTGGTGTTTTCACTGAGCATCTCGGAAGCCGAATCTTCACCTGAGATGTTAATAGCCAAGGTTCTCCTTTAAAATCCTGTGGCTTAAGAGGTAATACAGGAGACACGGTGGTTCATGTCACAAGGCATTTCCAGCCCACAAGTGGAAGCAAAACACGAAGTTCTTGCAGCTAGTGAAGTAGTGTGAGTAAGCAGCACAGACCTTTTATGATTGTTTTGGCTATTATTCTGATGGTGTGTTTCTAACATCCTGGTGCAGCTTTGTGGTGTGCTAATACCCTGCACGGGTCTGAGTGGAAAATGCTTTCAGATCAGTAGGTATGATTCATTTTGCAGAGGTGTATTTAGAGCACAGAAAATAGGTAGCAATTTCAAAGGATTATTAACCTTTTCCCGAATTCAGGCCATTGGCTAAGATGCTATTCTCTTTCAGTCCGAGATGTCTATGATTATTTCCGGGCTGTTCTGCAGCGGGATGAGAGAAGTGAAAGAGCTTTCAAGTTAACAGCAGATGCCATTGAGTTAAACGCTGCAAACTACACAGTATGGTATGTAGTTATCTTGGGATTATTTCTATGGTCATTCAGCTGCCTACCTTTTAAATCTTTAATATTTTGTTCGTTGAATTAGGGCATGCCTGGTTGAATTTACACAGAGAAGTAGAGTAGCCTTCCAGTGAGCTTCCAAAGAAAGCCTTTGTTCAGTATTTCCCATGCCTCATTTTAAATTATTTAAATGGTTTTCTTTCATTTGGCTCTAAGGATATTATCAGTCAAGGCCAGGGTTAGCTACAAAAAGGACTTTTCTGTTTAAAATTAGATTACTTACCTGGTAATGTGTCCATGGCAAAATGCTGAAGATGCCCTCAGTTGACTTTGAGAAGAGGCATAAAAACATGATGGCAAATAATTTATGTATTTACTACTAATAATAAACTACTAATACTTTATGCATTCAAAAAGATCTGTCAAGTTAGGTAATAAATAAACAGTGAATTTCTGATATTCAGAGTATGGCCTTTTACTCACAAGCTAACAAGTACCTCTTGTACGTCTTCATTCCACTAATTTCCATAAAATTATAAAGTTTGCATTGTTTCAAGTACAGAAGTCTTAGTTTCTGTGACAGAAAACTACCATAGGTACATTGTTAGAATCTTAGATAATGTACTGTGCAACCAGTTGTATTCTAGTTCTTTGCTGTTCAATAATTGAATGCCCTTTAACAGAACTAGATATGTGGTTAAGGATTTTGCATTAGTTTTAGCTTTTTGCATTGTTTTTAGCTCAATATCATTTACAAGAACTGTGAACAAAGGTGATTCCATGTTCTTCTCTGTGAATTTTAGGAAACTCCTTTTGCAGTGTTCAAATGTTTGACTTTTTTACAGGCATTTCCGAAGAGTCCTCCTCCAGTCTTTGGGAAAGGATCTCCATGAGGAACTTAAGTACATTACAGCTATCATTGAAGATCAGCCAAAGAACTACCAAGTCTGGTAAAATCATGCTTTCTTCTCTGTTCTTAATGTTTTTGTAGATAATATTTGTTTTGTAAATTGTCCATTTGCAGTGGTGGAGTTAAATGGTGTTGGATCATGGCAAAGCTCCTTTCAGGCATTTATTCTAAGCATATGATTTTGTCATGCTAACCAGGTGTTGTTTTCTTATTAATTTCAATTTTTAGACTGCCAAATAAGTCTGACAGGTAAAAAAAAAAAAAAAAAAGACTTGTGAAAAGGCAACCAAGAAGACAATAGAAAATAGTATTTTTTCTTTTATTGTGTTTTGGAGTTTGTCTGCCTTGTTGCTGGGTTTTTTCCAAAATTAAAGGGAATAGGCAAAAGAGCAGCATCATTTTTTATTGCTACAGAAATTATGTAGCACTAGAAAACTTTACTCTGCTGAAGACTTCGACCATGAAACTGTTAACAACAGTTCCAGGTGAACATTACTTCTCTAAAATGAGATGATTGGCCATTGTGTATTGTGGTTAGAATTTTTTATAATATAAATATGCATCATGCCTTTCTCAGAGCCAAGTGAAATGTTCTGGTATGCTTAATTTGAAGCATTTAACTAGTGGGTTTTTTTTCCTAAGTGGTGCACTTGCTATAAGCTGCTGTTATATAGAACACACACTACAGACTCCTATAAAAAAATTTAGACTTTGTTCCTTCCTCTCGTCATTAGGCATCACAGACGGGTGCTGGTTGAGTGGCTGCAGGATCCATCCCAAGAGCTTGAGTTCATAGCTGACATTCTTAACCAAGATGCCAAAAATTACCATGCCTGGCAACACAGACAATGGGTTATTCAGGTATTGTATCCACAGAACTCTTTATTCATTAAATAACTTGCATTTTAAGTGTGTGGCAGAGGTTAGCTGTAAACTTGCCTTTTAGGAAATGAGTTCCAAGAATTGGATTGTTGTCTACTTGCTGTTGTGTTTGTGTGTATTTAGTGATGAGCTAATACCCATTGTGTACCACTGAGTAGTGTAGCATGTTGCTAGTTCACCTGTACTTTTTTTTTTAACTTTCTGTTGATTTATTCAAAAAAGGTTTTATCTGATATTCAGGCAACTTGAGAACAAGAATGTATTTCACAAAATAAAAACTTTTGATTGTGATACTCTCTCTTCCTTCTCTTTCTTTAGGAGTTCAAATTATGGGACAATGAACTGGACTATGTGGACCAGCTTTTGAGAGAAGATGTGAGAAACAATTCTGTTTGGAACCAACGGCACTTTGTCATTTTCAACACCACTGGCTATGATGACCCAGCAGTCCTAGACAGAGAAGTCCGGTTAGTAATTATATTCGGGCTCATATTAAACAATCTCCATTAGATGAAAGCAAAGGAATACTTTCACAATCTCCATGGGCTTTGTGCCTGATTTTTGTTCACTTCTGGGACTAACACTCATGGTTAGCAGATCAAGTGCCAGACTGAAGCAAGCTCTGCTTACCCTGGGCAAGCTACTATCATGAATCTGTTTTCCTGACCTGCTGTTTATTGTACAAATAAAACTTTAGGGGTTATGATCAACTAGTTACAGCCAGACAAGCTGCAGAAGATCTGTGACACTGCTGTGCTGTTCATTAGTATTCTACTCCTAGAAAGTTTGGAAAGAGGCACTGCAGCAAATAAAACTGTACAACCACCTTTGTTTTTTCTCTTAAATATGTTATCACAGAGGTGTTACCATCATTTCTAATAGGCCCAGCCTTGGCTGGTGGCACATCCATCCTTGGAGCCACCAGGGACTGAGTCTGATGGACATGAAAGAAGCTCCTGGCAGCTTCTCACAGAAGCCACCCCTGTAGCCTCTCCTACCAAAAAACAAGCCATGCAAACACAATACAGTGACATGGATTGTAGGAAGAGGAGTTGCCTTTTGTGAGGAATTTGATGCAGCTGGAAAAAGAAAACTGTCAGGAGTACGTGGTTGGCACAAAGAGAACTGCCTCTCTGAGTTTCCAGGAAAGAGAGTTTTCTGCTCACTGTTTCTAGGTTGCATGTTTGTAACTGAAGGCAAACTGGGCTTCTAGACATATTTTCCTACCCATGGTGCCTCTTCATATGGTTTTCACATCTCAGGCTGCTGATTAGGGTTGATGGTTATGAGAAGGTATAAGGTGAAAAAGCAATTTTTTAATAGTTATTTTTCAGAAGAAAGACTGAATCTCTGAATCCTTTGGTACATTATTCATAGAGGATCCCAGCCCTCACCATCTTCATGGTTGTCTTTGCAACCTTCTAGAACTTTTACTTCTCTTCCAGTTTATAGCTTTCCTATAGATCAGTGAATCTGAACCATTTCCATGGCTTAGACTTGGATATCTTCAACTTTTTATCTCTAGAGTCAAGGTTGGACATCCTCTCTTGATCTTCTTAAGATAATTGGGTACCATCTTAAGAACCAGGCTGGCTAAGATTAGGCCTTCCCAGATGTCATTATAGAACTGCTGGTTGGTTTATGAACTTATTCTTTATTGTAATGACTGCAGAATGTTTAAAAAGAGTTACAGTTGTGGGTAATTTTTTTAGTACCCCTTATATATCAGATACTCCTGTATCTGCAGCCGCTGAAAATCATCAGGATGCCTGGTTATGCTGGAAAAGCCAGAAGATAAATCTCCTTTGTGTAGATGAAATATGGCTTTATGGCTGTATAGGAGGTGTCTTTTGTTGCTTTGCTTTTACAGCAGTTGCCTCACTGCTGCTTTCACAGAAATGCTGCAGAAGGCTGTGTGAGCTGAAAGCTCAAGCTCTGCCTTTCTGTGGGTTTGCTTGAGTGCAGCCTGATGAAAAAAGTTCTGCAAATAGGTACTGAACATACCACTTGCAATCATATTAACAGAGCTCAGTTACTCTGACTATTTTCAGCCCCTTACCATTTCTGAGCGTCAAGATGTAAGTTATTCCTTTAGCATACAAAGAGAGTATATTATGTTGTTTTTTTCAGTATTTTTGCTAGTAATTTTGAGAACTGATTCATTATTGTCTAAAGTCCAGAAAATTGAGCACTTAAATCTTAAAACATAGTGTCTGCCTCTTTGAGACTCTGGGTGATAATATTGTGAGCCATTTTTGATCTACCCAGGTGAGATGATCTGCAAAAAGAGTGAAGTATAGCCTAGAGACGTGCATTTGGAAGCTTCTGAGCACACTCAGGTAATTTCTTACTGCATTGTTATTGGCTGCATTCATAACCTATTACCTTTTTCTTGTAGGTACACTCTTGAGATGATCACAGCAGTGCCACATAACGAGAGTGCTTGGAACTACTTAAAAGGGTGAGGTTTACTTCTCCATGAGGCAAAGAATCTGTGGAAGGTGTCTGGTGCCTGCTTCTTAATTGAAAATATCTTAATGCTTTTTGTTCTAGTGTAGTGTGCTTAAGCAGGCATGCAAATACTGTCACAAAGGGTTATTATAGTCTAACCTAATTTCTGTGTAACTTTTCACTAAGCTTCTGGCCCTATAGATCTTGTGAAAGGACTACAGGTACTTCTAATGCTTTTAAAAACTTGACCTGTAAAGTTACTGTGTTAAAAAGCGTAGCTAGGAAATAACTAATATGCTTTCAGTCTAATTCCTGTTCTGTTGAACAAAAACTATACCAGCTTACTACAACATGAGGCTATACAAGTGCTGCATGCTGCTTACCTTCTGACTTACTTGTATTTGCAGCCTGATTCCAAACCTAATCTCCAAGTAAAGGAGTCTTAACAAAAATGCAGTTATTCACACCAGATTTCGCATCATTATGTGTCAAGCCTCTTAACCTCTCTTCTAGGATTCTGCAGGATCGTGGTCTTTCTAAGTATCCAAATCTGCTGGAGGAACTGTTGAATTTACAGCCCAGTCACAGTTCACCCTATCTGATTGCCTTTCTTGTGGACATATATGAAGATATGCTAGAAAACCAGTGTGATAACAAGGAAGAAACACTGAACAAGGCATTGGAGGTATGTTTTGAAAGCGTGGTTTTTCTTCTCAGGGATGCTGCCTATTCCTGTCTGGTTTTATAGCTTGACAAAATGAGAATGATTTTTGTAAATAGAACAGGTTAGTTCTTGATCATGAGAGGTCTTGATCATGAGAGTTTAACAAAAAATCCAGATAAGCACAAGGATCTCATGAAATTAGATATAAATAATAATTAGCCAGTTATGAAATTACTCTTAAATTTTCTTAATGTGATAGTGAAGGAAGGTCTCTGATACTACCTGCAGAAGAAAGAAGATGTTTGAACAATTGAGGAGTTTTCAGTGTTTACTTTGTAGCATTAACTCACTCTCTTCTCTGTAGGTTAATGAATTTTTCTCAGAATATCCATGTCCAAACAATCTCAATTTAGCTCACTTGGCCCTTCTTGGCTCTTTCTAAGAAAGTTGACAGAATTAGCTGATGGCCAGCAGGCACTGGGCTATCGGTAAGAAATGTCAGGCTCCGCTTCCTACAGAGCATAAATTACTTCTGGCAATGTTGTGTATCTCCCAGAGCTTTATATTTGGCTGTTCCTTGGTGCAGTTTGTAATGTAGTTTTTACAAGAACACTTCCCATTCACTGTGGGACTGACTAGACCTTGATGTAATTAGATCTGCACTTTTGCCTGGAGTCTGTGTGTTCTGACATTGTTCTTTCTCAGCACTTTTCCATTGTTGTGTTCCAGGAACAGACTGTAAATAAGTGCAGTTGTCCCCTTTATACTATTTCACTGATTTTGACTTCTCTATTTAGGCATCAAAACTCTTAATTCATTAACTCCATTTCACTAAGGCGATGTCATCTGCATAATAAAAGGGAATTTACCAAAACATTTGTAGTGTTCAGACTGTGTAAAATTTACACAGCTTGTCCTGTAAGTAGTATTGACTTCTACTGTGCTGCTTACCTAGATCAAAAATAAAAATTAAAAAACAAAACAAAAAACAACAACAACAACAACAAAAAAAAAAAACATGTAGAACTATCTGCACCAACTCTTAATGTAGTATGAGAGGAGGTTACTGACTTGCATGGAGAACCTTTTGGGGACAGTCTGCTGAGGAAAAAACTAGAAATAAAAGATCTCCTGTCAGTCCATCTAGAGTACTGAAGATTCAAGAGCAGGATGATCTTCCACTGTTTGGAATTAAGTGGTTTACGGCCTGTTGAATGACTGAAAGACATTCAAGATTTTCAGGAAGTATACTGTGCTCTACTACAGGGTGCATTAGGCTGGCATGGATGATGAGTGGTAGGCATGGAAATGAGTCAAAGGGAACTCCTACAACTGAAATGGGCCTGGAGAGATTTTTGTGAAGTGTCAGATTGGTTGGCTACCAACTGGAGTTGTCATCAGTTTGATGTCATTAAACAGTTACGAATCCCATGAATAAAACAAATGTTGCAGAGGAACATATTTTTAATACTGTCTGAAATATATGTTGTATGCATTTTATAATTAAGTATTCTGTAAGCTTTTTTGGTTTAATACTGCAGTCTCTCACTTTTCTTTCATAGTTGTGTGAAATTCTGGCTAAAGAAAAAGACACCATCCGAAAAGAGTACTGGAGATACATTGGAAGGTCCCTTAAGAGCAAGCACAGTTCAGGCACTGAACAGAGCAGCACACTGACGGATAAAGAGCAGTAACTGAAGATACAAGAAAACAGTGTTAAGCTCTCAAGTTGTTCCAAAGCTGTACGAAGTAGGGTCATCAACAAGTTCAAAATCCATTTGTAGGTATTGCAATGAAAGAGGAATGCAGACTGCTGCATAGTCCTGAGTTGCTGCTGCTACTTGACTAGCTGCAGTCAAGAAATGTAAAAAGGCTTTATTATTGAAATGTACCAAGTAAAGTTTTTAGTTCCTAACTAAAAATACATAAAGCTATACCTGTTACATTGACAGTGCTCAGTTAACGGTTGGCCTTGATCTTAGAGGTATTTTCCAACATAAGTTACTCTACAACTTGTGAAGCACTAAAACCATATCTCATATCATGGCTTACCCACTTGTGGTTCCTAACACTGTCTCATGAGTTTGCTGCAGTAGTGACTGCAGGTAACTTAACTATAGGGGATATTGAGTAACTGGTTAGTGCAAGTAGGCACTGCAGCTGTTGCCTTATGTAGGAACAGTTGTCTAACACTGTCAGCCTATGCTGTTGTATGCAAACTAACACCAAGTGTAATTTTGTAATAAAAATAGATAACTTAGCATTTGTCTGAATGTTTTTAATGTGTTTCTTTTGGTCCTTGTAAGTGCATAGTTTGTTTTTTTCAAACACTAATAGAGGTGAAATATCCCCTTGTGTAAGTATTGGGTTCTGTTGCATTGAGATGTCTTTTGCACTGGAGTATTCTTATCCCAGAAACTTTTGGTACACCTGATATATTCAGTGGAGCCCTGAATTCTTCCCTGCCCAGGCAAAATGCTTTGAGGATCCTGGGGGAGGTGTATATCTGCACCAGAAAACTGCATCTACCTTGGTTTTCAGCAAATGGTTATTGTAAACTGTGTTCTTATGGAGTGGGAGTGTTTGTCTGATATGAAATATTTTATTGGAAATGATCATAGAGGGAACAAACAAATGCTGGTGTTTATTCCATAATATGCAGTCTTTCTGACACTAAACATTAAAAGGTGTTAACTGTGATTAAACAATAGTGGAGATTATTTTTTTAACACTTGGAATTCTTTAATTCAGTGCTCTCTTGAAATTCAAAACAACTCACAGGGAGTGGAATTGATATACAAAAGCTATGTAATTTTGTAGTGGTTTTGCTGCTTTCTCAGCCGTAGAGAAAACATTTTTGTAGTGACAAATGAGCATTCAAAACAGACATGGACTTCAAACTTTTGGAGATTGGTTAACCTGGGAGGTTCTTTTTTTCTTTTTTTTTTTTTTTTTACATGTTTGGGTTTTTTTACCATATTTAAAACTCCAGTACAAAGCAAAAGGTGTGTTTTTATCCCTATGATTTGTTCCTAATTGAAACTGTACTAAATATGGAGTACTGAACAGCCAGGGTGTTCAAGGTCTTCAGGACAAAGTAATGTATTTGCCACAAGAGTGACAAAGAGTCAAGAAAGCTCAGAAAGATTAAACAGTCAAATACAATCCTTTAAATAAACATCAATGAAGAGGGAACAGAATTTTTCCTCTGCATATGGTGTTAATACTTTTTTGTATCTTTCACAAAATTCAGAGCACACTTGGGATAAAGCAGAGTATTCTTTATAGACACTAGCATAAATTTCAGCAGTAAGTCATCACAAGGTAAGATTGATGAAGAGTGTCCACAGGGACATGGTATTTTGGGATGTGATCTCAGTCACTTGTGGGCTGAGGCAAGAGCTTAGATTTAGCCATATAGACTTCCTAGTGGCAAGAATAGGTAGGATTCCTCTGACAATACCTTTTCAGGGATATAGTTAACCTATGGCCTTCTCATTCTTGAAAATTATGTCTATAATAATGAATAAGATTCAAACAGAGTTGGTAGGGTTTTATACTGGTTATGCAAGCATAGTGGTACACAGAAAGATAATGCTGCTTCTGAGCTCCATTTACCAATAAATAATCAAGTACATATTTTTAATGGAAAAACATACCCTGTTTTATGTAGAACAAATGTGTAACCAAACAAATCATGTAAATCCTGAGAAAAAAAGAAACGTGCTGGACCCTGGAGTTAAACAACAGGAATCAAAGTCATTCTATTGTAACAGAAGTGTTCTTTCAAATGTTTATATTTACTGTCACTTGGATTACAATGAAGCTTTCAAATTCTCTTGCAAAGGCACCTCAGTTTTCTGCTGGTCAACCTTACACAAAAATACTGAGCTATCAGAGCTGGAAAAATGATGGCTGCCCAGCCAGGTTGCAAGTGAAGCCACCAAACCTGAATTTTAATGCTTCTGAGGCAAAACGTTCCTGGTGGAAGAAGGAGCTTGACAAAATGCATGATCTGTAGAGAGAAGGGTCTTAGAGTAGGAAGTTAGAGATGACTTTTAACCTGTAGGCATTGGTACTGACTACCTTTGATCAGGGCAAACATCACAGTTATTTGTCCCAGTAGGTTCATCTGTACAAGAAAATTTACTGGTGTTATTATTGTGTGTAATTATATGACTCTTGTGCACAATTTTATTACTGAAGAGCTATGCCTAAATGGAAAACTGCTGATACAAACTCTCCCTTGTAAATCAGTGTAACTGGAAGATTCAGTGGAGTATAGAGCATTAGTAAAGTGTGAAATCATATTGTATGCTTGCTTTCATCAGAAGCTGATATTCTTGCCTTCATGTAGCCCGGTCAAATAAGCCATTCATGACTTCCACCTTTTTGTCTTTGCAACTTAGGTGACAAGTGTGCAAGTCCTTCCTAATCTATTCAGTACAAAACCACCTCTGCTAGCACAAAGTGCTTCTCTCAGATGCTATCTGGTTGTGCTGAGACAGATTAGGAGCGTGCCATTCAGCTGGACCTTCTGTCGTAGCAATATTCTCCAATAAGGAAGCAGGGAGGTTTCTGATCACTCCCTCGATGTGAAACACTTTCATTGAAGTGCTAGCTGCCAATTCATGCCGGGCTATGGTGATGACAGACTTACAGAGATGGGACACCTAAAACTGAGGGTACACACACTTAGGTTTCTCTAAGTAGGGAAGCTTCACCAGATTTAACTAAAAACCCCACCTCAGGATGCCTTGATGCCTAGATGACACGTCTAATGAAATCCCTTGGGGCTAGGACTGTGCTCCACGGGGTGCATCACCATCACTGTGAAGAAGCACTGAAAACTCACACAGGATTTCAGCCTTGGGGGATTAGAATCGTGTCTGTACCCTGTCGCCCAGCCGAGAAGGTGGACGCTGGCCACTAGATGCCACTGTCACATCCACCCTCGAGCCCAGGATGCGCAGGAAAAGCAGCGGCGACACCGCCTCGTCCGTTCAACATCGCTACTTTCACACCTGCTAATTAAACAGGGAAGAGCAGCTGCTTGGTAATCCAACACATAGCGCCGCACAAGCATCAAGCACAAGTGTTCTGGGAGGGGCTAAGTGGTCATCTTCGTGTTGGTGTTAATTGGAGAGCAATGTCTCATTAACAGAAATGATGTTTCCTCTGACACTGGACACCTTGCACAGATTTAGACTCCATTTAGTCCTGGCATTCTAAAAATAACACCATGACTAAACCCATCTGCTCAGAACTTGGGGTTTGTGGCCCGTTTACATCTTTTGGAGACATGCCTCCAATCAGAGTGCTACCCTAATATGTTTTCACAAGCTAGAAAGTTTTGGTCCCCTAGAGCCAGCCTCATTGTGATAAATTTCTCTGAGCACTCTGTACTGAAATGCTGCCCATTGCTGGTTGTTTCTGGGAATATAGATTGAAGGACAAGATGACCTACTACTTCTTGGAACTCAGAGGAGGACTTGGGCCAAACTGAGGAACTCAAGCATGCTGTTGCAGATTTGAAAGCGGTTTCCTTGCTTTCTGGTAAGCAGGACTGAAAACTTTGCTAAAGGAAGTCAAAGACAGACTTCTCTTTCTCATGCACTGGTTTGTCAAAACGGAGTCATATGGGTTGTCAGTGTAGGGATTTTAAGTGAATTAAGAAATGCCCTGTGTCACTTCAGCCAAGCCAGCTTGAGCACCCAGAGTGACTCAGGTGCAGCTGCTTGTTCTTCGTGTGTATGCACTGAGCTCCCAGGACATGCTATCATTACCCCCTCCCATGGGCATTATGCTATCTCTGGTACCTCTGACCACACCTGAAACAGTTGGATGTCAGGGGTAATGCTACCATTGCAGTACTGCTCATGAGCAGTGATCTTATGACTGCAGAAGCCATCTTGTTGTATTTGGGCTTCTCATTCTTTTGGGTTTGAGTTACTTTGGGTAAGTCTATTTCATTGTTTACTTCTTTGGTTTTCTGATGTGCCCTGACTGCTGTCCAAATCATCTATCCAACAGATCCAAAACCAGCTGAGTACGTGCTTGTGCTGCTATAAAGAAGTTTCAGAAGGAGGAAAAGGAAAAAAGAAAAAAGAACTGTGTATCCTTGATGTACATTCTCTGCTCCCTCTTCTGCCAAAGCCTGCTTACCAAGATAAGAAGGTGGTGGGTATATAACCTCCTTTTCTTTACAGGTACTTGCACACATCTGCCTCTGCTCTAGCTTGTAGACACACAATGAATATGAGTTTTATTCCCAGTTTTACTACAGAACGGTGAGAGCATACTATCCCTGTATACAGTAGCATACGATACTCACTGGCTTTGCTGACTGCCTCTTGTACTAACAGTTTCTCTGCTGCAAAATTAGTCCAAATGACTATTTGCAGGTACCTACAGAGCAGGTGTGGAGGGTTCCTAAACACTGTTCCAGCATTCTGATACCAGTTGAGTGGTACTGCCAATCATCTTGCTAATTTGTTTGAGGTCTAACCTGCAAAGATCCTGCACTGACCTGAAGGCTACAATAAAAGGGAGAGAGTGTTGAGTGTTTACATGGGCAACTGAAAACCAGAAACACCTGGTTTTAGAAACACATTTTCAAATTATCAATTTTCAAATTATTCCTTAGCTGAAAAATTTAAAAGTTGTAAAGTGAGAATAGAAAACTGTGTGGCTTCTGATATTCAGAGGAAATATGTAAGGAGATGTGCCTTAGGCAAGACTTAGTTTTGTGCTAGAAGGAATGTCTGGATAAAACCCCAAAAGCTGGATGAGATCTGTTTGTCAGTGGTGCCCTGACATAGCTAAGTTGAATTTGGAACTCAAATTTTCTCCAGTTTCATTGCAGGAAAAAGGAGAAAATGAGGGATGACTGGGAAAGGGCAAGCCAAAATCACTAGTCATGCATCCCTAAAAACATCTAAGAATATTACAGCAAATTATTTCAGTATAGGTGCCTGCTGCAAAGCCAGACAGAGCTACCTGGCATACACAGCAATTTTGTGCATTTCAAGTAAGAGCAGTCTTTTCTCTCCAGGTGAACTGTATTGAGTTTCTAATTTATTTTTTTTAAGTGCTAATACACTGTCAGATACATGCTTGTCTGAGCCATGCAAGCTAAATTTTCTAGGGAGAAGAAGAAGAAGAGAATGATGAGATATAACCTGTTATGCTGTAGGATTGCTATTTAGCAGCCATGGCCAAGACAAGACCCACATAAACTTGGGTTTTGTATCCCACAATGCCAGCTTTCAGCTGTCACTTTATAGTACAGGCTTTTTACAGAAGAAATTACATGTCCTCATATGTTTGAAAGCTCTTGGTGTTTACAGAGATTCCCCTTACTCCAACAAGTGCTAGTAGTCTCTTTGACACTGTGGGAGTTTCAGCCTGCTTTCTGTTCCTCAGCACTGCCAATAAGTGCAGGTGTTGATTTGAAAGAGAGAGGGGATAGGAAGGAAAGGGCCAAAAAAAAAAAAGAGAGTAATGAAAACTTAGCTCATAGCCTGAACCAGTATTGCAGCATGCAATTAAAAAAATATGTGCAAAAAACATATCTGAGCAGCAGAAGAGTTTTTATGGTGATGAGCAGATAATTTTTTAATTGCTTCCTCCTGTTCACAGAAAAATGGCTTTGTAAGTACAGAGGATACATCCCTGATATCTCCTCTTTGTGGGAACAGTGCTT